AGGAGACATACCACAGAAGATGCTTTTTTTTGCTGCCTTTAGATGTGGAAAGAAAGAATTGATTTCTGATATAATTCAACATCTTCTTTCATTTTAAATGTCCTTTTGACTGGTTATGTCTTACTATGGTACCCAAAACATTTAAAACAGATTTTTCCATTTGCACATTTGGCATCTCCCCACTGAAGTATTATTTTTTTTGACTAAAAAACTAAAAACACTGGGAAACCTTTCACAGCAGTAAATGGGTTTATTTTATGGAGCTCTAATTCTTAGCAGAGCATCAGTCAAATTGACTTTTCCAATGTAATTTGCATTTTTCACAGTTTTATATTTTAACTGTTTCAAATCACATTCCCCCTCCCCAAAAAAGGGTTCTGAACTGTCAAATGTCATCCTGTTTAAGACAGGACACAATAGCAGAACTCTGATAATTGATGTTTTGGCAAACCACAATCCCACAAAGATACTGAATAGAAACTCAGGTTTGCAATTCCCTGGAGCAAATGAAGGGAGTTCTTTGTTATTGGGAATTGGGCAACACAAATAAATAATTTACCTCTGTGCCACAGTCTTTAGGATACTTGCAAGGAGGAAATACTGTATTATCCTAGCACAGTTGAAGCACCATATTAATCCTGAGATCAGAGCTTCAGCATCGGAACAAAGATGTATCGCACGTGATATTTTCCTCCATACCTTTTTATGGCAAAACCACATTTATATTCATCCTGTTGTATGTGAAAATTATAGAACAACTTATTTGGAAGACATGCATATTTAAAAATTGCTTGACAGCAACAGTAAATATGCAATTGTTGCAAATTATATGTATGCACTGTTTTGACTGACAGAAGGTCTTTAAACATAAGAAAAAGTCTATATATGAAGCACCTCTAATTATAATTTATTTATTTCAACAAGCTTTGAGCCAAGATACCTCAAATAGACAACTTACAAAATTTGGACCTCATGACTCCCATGGCACTGAAATTTGACAAAGTTCAGCATTGCCATTTCAAGACCGCCCTGCTGCTGCATTCAACCATAGTTACATAATAATCATTTCCAATCATCTGTAACAGCTTCCTCAAGACAATGGGGAAACCAGGGGGAAGGTTAAATCTGATTAGGATTGCTGATGCTCCCTACCATCTTCCCATAAGGGAAGTGGGGAAGTTGGCAGGAAGTTGCAAGTCCAAGGCTAGCAGGTAAGTAAGTGGCTGTTACCTGGTGGGGGAGGGAGCAAGGGAGTAAGAAGTGCAGCAAGGTCAGGGAGGGTGCAGAAGAATGCAGCGCAGCTCAGAAAGGGCGTACAAAAGTGGGGTCAGAGGAGGCTGTGGTGCAGGGAGGGTGTACAGGGTGGAAGACTGGAGGAGGATGCATAGTGGGATAGAACTTACCCACAAAACTTGCAACCTTTGCTGCCAGCTTCCTCACTGGCATTGTCCCTGCAAACTTTCTAAAAGCAAAGTCAGTGGGGGAGCTTGTAGCAAATCTGTAATGGTTTTTGCTCTCGCTGTTTTTTTTGCCTGCTCATGGTCATTCTGTTGAATGATATTTAGATAAGAAAATATCTCTGAAACAATGACCTAACTGAAACCATCACCCAATAAGTCATGGGTTTTCTAGTTATACTTAAGGCTAGAATTTCTAAATACCTGCTAAAAATGAACAGAAAAAGTATCATGTTAATGATTTATGACTCTTTCAAAACGTCAACATACCTTTTACAGAAACAATCCAGTAGACATTAATTGCTAATCATGAGTTTACGAGAGGCAACATAGCTTTTATTTACAGAACCAATGACAAATTAGAGGAAGGTGAGCCTAAATCTGGAGTACTATGTACAATTTCGAGCACTACATTTCCAGAAGGATAGTAACAGATTAGAACAGATTTGGAACACGGTGATGAAAATGATACAGAACTTGAGGACATGACCTATCGGGACAGGCCGAAGGAACTTAGGATATTTAATATGGAGAAAGAAGACTGAAGGAGACATACTATCACTGTTCAGCTAATAAATGGGTGCTGTAGGAAAGATGGTCAAGAACTATTTCTCACTGTCACAAAAATTAGGACCAAATATAATGGGCATAAGTTGTAATGACCTACATTTCATATATTTATAAAGAAAGAACTCCTAATGATAGAGTCAGTGTAATAGGGGAACAGTCTATCTACATATATTAAGGCTTCTCTCCATCTCTGCAGTTTTTTTAAGGGCCTGCATGGCCACCACTAAAAGATGATTTAATGTATGCCTGTATTATTAAAGGTGTTTGGTCTAGATGATCCTCACGGTCCTTTCCCAAGTCCATAATTCTTTTATTCTGTTTATCACATGGTCGAGATATTTAAATAAGCAGAACATGTATATTCATTTAAAAATGAAATTTAGAGGAGCAGCCCTCCTCCAGAAGAGTCTATTTAGGACATACCGAAACATCAGGAGGAAAGGATAGAACAATGACTAATTGGAAATAGATGTAAAGAAACAAATGGAGGGAAAAGGTAGAAGTATCAAAATCCTGCTATTCACGGTTAGATGATATTAGAGACCAGCTGAAACAAAAAACAGAGAAAGAGTAAAGAAGATAGTGGAAATCAACAGTCATATACACATATTGATGAACTCAGTGGGGTGTAGTTAAGTACACTAAGTAATGTATAGCTTATATTGTATAGGTATATACAGGTTATAAAATTAGGAATAGTCCAAAGGAATAGTCCTAAGTACACTAAGTAATGTATAGCTTATATTGTATAGGTATATACAGGTTATAAAATTAGGAATAGTCCAAAGGAAGTAGAATTCCTAATATATAATTATCAGTGGATTGATATGTGGATTGCACTGATAGTTATTCTCTTAGATGACTAGATAAATTCAAACACATTACAGAAATTCATACTGTTTCTGAAAAGCTTTAGGGCAGAGTAACTTGAAAGGTCCTCAGGCTGTAGAATTTAGTGAGAAATATGACAAACCATTAGTGAGAAAAGAAAACTGCCCTTGGAATTTCCTCAGTTTGATCTAGCAAAGCAAGTCTTATGTAAAAGACGATATACAGACTAGACTTTTATTGAGAAGTAAAAGCTGTTTTAAAAAGCACTATTTACTGAGTGTTTTCACATAATTCCTTTGTTTAAGGAAATTTCACTTCTTAGTTCTACTTTTTTTTTGTTCCATAACCAAGAATCTTTGATGAAAAGCTTTTTGCATAATTTTTTGTAAAACTGACATAATTAGGAGCACTAAATCAATGCAACACTTTTCAGTGAGCATAACTAATGAAGAAAAAAGCAAGCATGTTTTTGGCTCCACTTCTAAGAGATTGAAAACAAGATTTTCCTAAAACAAGATAGATTGTAAGCAAGCCACATTATCATAACAAACAACAGGTTTATTCTCAGATTCTGATTACACATATTTATATTTAAAATTACAAAGTATGAAACATTTAAACAATCATTATTTTTAAAATAATTCAATTTTTTTAAAAAATATACATAAGAGGCAAATATTTAAAATCATTAAAACAAAAAAGCAGTTTCAGGAATCAATCCTAATCCTACCATCCTGTCTATTAATCAAGTCAAAATTAAAGTTGACTCAATTGCTTCCTGGTGCACAGCAAGTTTATGCCAATCAATTTCCACAAGAGATCAGACTTGGGAATATGTAAGAAAGATATGGGTTCTAAATGCTTGGCTCCAAATTTGTAAATTAAAAAAAAAAACCTACAAATTCTGTTAAGGCATTTGAAAAAAATAAGAGATGGCAGGTAGTAAACAATAAAGGTGAAAACTGAGTCTATGGACCTACTTTAAAGAAAGCATGTTTACCATTATTCTGTACAAATAATTCCTGGATGCATTTTTCTTTCAATTCACAATTCTATTTCGTAATTCCAGAAAGTGATTAAAAAGTTAAATTTCCTTTGCAATAGAAATATCTATGTGATATTAATGTTAGATGTTTAGGTTCTGGAATATTTTTAATTTAATAAGCAGTATTGTATAAGCAAAACACTTCCAAAAACTGTTGGAAATAAAACTGCATGGACTCAAAGACTATGTGGATCATTTCTGCTCCAAAGTAGGAAAGGGTTTTTTGAAGGGCATGGGCACTGATGTTATACTTCCTCATATCTCCTTAGAGAAGCTGTGTCTTTTTATGGATTTGCTTTGTAGCTCTGCAATCCCAGGAAAATATGTATTGCGAGATATGGAGACACTGGCAGCCTGCCCATGCTGACTCTGAAACATCTTGACACATACTGTCAGCACTTCCTTACTTCAAACACATTCTTGGGAAAATATGCAGCTTCTTTAAAAGGATGCCAATAGTTGTGGCATGCATGCCCACGTCTTTTCTAGAACACCTTTTTTGCTCTATATATCAAAAGTGCTGCACCTTCATGTACACAAGCAGATCTACTGAAACCTCTTGAAGAACAGTCATTCCAACCTAATTTTTCAACTGAATTTTATAAAAATAGTCCTTTACCTACAACCTAATTCAAGGTCACGATGGCACTGAATAAATCGTCATAATTAGCAGTAGTTATGTTCTGGGCTCTTGGCAACCGATTCACACTTAGATGCAATCCTGCTTTATGACCATATAGTTTGGTGACGGAAATTCCATTTTCAACTGCCATCATAAGTTCAGGAGTACCTGAATGTCTGTCTGATCCTGATAAATAAGGAAAGTCTGCTATAAAATACTGAATATCTGAAACAGCCTTTACCATCTTTTGGATCCCTACTCTATTAATGTTTTGAAAAATCTTATAATGCATAAAAAGCTAAGATAATACTGATTTGTAACAGCCTGTTTTAGGAAGAGTTTTTAAAAGACAGATTCAACAACTACACTTCTGTTTGTATAATGGTTAATGTGAGAGGAGAAGTGAAGAAAATAAAATACTTTTTCACTTAACATTAGGTAATTGGAATGATTTAGGAAAAAAATGTTTTCCTACCTGACCCGTTTTATAGTGTCTTGCAAATTGGTTCACCACTCGGTAATCATTTGCAAAGTATTCCATTAAGATAGAAGGAACTTCAGCAAAGTCAGTAGAACACCTTGTACCTATAGAAATGATATAAAAAATTGATACACAGGAAGCTAAAACATTTTTATTATTTTTTTCTGTCTCTCTCAAAACCTTTCTCAACTTTCTGTTTTGCACTCATGATAAGCTGTAATAACTCATTGTCGTATAAATATTTCATTTTATAATATCACTCAACTTATTGGCAGGAAAGCTAAATTTATACAGTACTCCTACATATTTTCAGCAAATCACAAAGTAAAACAAAATATTTGAACAACCGGGCGAGGCACCTTATGAAGCTGTGAATCACCCCTTTTATAAACTTACGCCAGGCTGCAACAAATCTGGTCAAATGTCTAATTGCCTTAACTCTATGCTTTCTTAAAATATCAAACTATGCCTGAGAATTTAATCCTGTCTGCAAATATTATCATCCCCATCTGTTTAATGAGATCACATATCTAACATTCATATTGTTTCCTTTATTGTTTAAGATGTCAATCATTTAAAAAAACAAGTTTTTTGGTTTGCTGCTTCTTTTCAACTATTTTGAGACATCTGATGATGAAATAATTTCTTTCTATTACAAAAGTCATTCCTCAAATCAAGCTTTTCCTCTCCTATACTTGCCTATGTGCTTCAAGCCTTTCCAGAGTGCCAGTTTCTGGAACAGCAAATACAGAATCTGTTATTTTGCAAAAATTGTACCTAAACCTTCCTCAGAAAAGTTGCTTTTTGGAGCGGGAGACTCAAAAGACACAGCATAATAATGTCAAGATGTTAAGAGAATCATTGTGGCTGGTGGTCTACATGGAATATAGATTTGATTCTACCCATACTGAATGTGTGTCAATACACAGGACTTCTAAGATAATCCCTAGGTTGCACTTGAAAGGGTGTCATATTGGCCAAAATGTGTCTGAAGTGTCCAGTACTGTTCTTACTGTTATCAGAAATATGATTACAGCTGGTAATCTAGTTTAAACCTTATCCATCATACTAAAAAGTATGTGAAAGACTAATGGTAGGATGGCTAGCAAAGTTCAGCATCTATGACACCATACGGAGAAAACATATCACATGGAAGAGTGAGATTCATGTGTAGGAAAGTAAAAGCTAAGGCACGAATTAACAAAAGAAACAAAAATGCACTCAGCATATGCCTGTGACCCTCTTCAACACTGGAGGTTAGGTTTTAAAGAGGGGAGTGGACAACTATTTGTCTGAAATAGTATAGGGTCTCCTGCTTGAGCAAGGGGTTGGACTAGAACGGGGATCCTCAACCCCCAGGCTGTGGACCGGCAACCATCCAAGGCATGCCAGAAACTAGGTTGCACAAATAAGCAAAGCCCCATCTGCGCACATGCAGGATGCAGGCAGCATGCGAAATCAGGCCCCTCCCCATCCCCTGGTCTGCAGAAAATTCTCCACAGAACCAGTCCCTGGAGGCCAAAAGGTTTGGCCGCTGGACTAGAAGACCTCCAAGGTACCTTCCAACTCTGTTATTCTGTTAAGAGAATGGAGAAAGGGATATAAGTTTGAATAAAGATAGCCTGTTCCTATTGATTGATAAATGCGTGTAGGAAAATAAAGGCGGATAAGGAAAAATGCATGTAAGAGAATAACTATAACAAAAACGAAGTGAAAGATATTGGATAAGGCATACACAGAGAAAAAGATAGCTGTAAAGAATATAACGTGCAAGCAGCAGACAAGCATGTGAAGCTCCATTTATGCAAGCAGCAGGCACACATATGAAATCATCCCCTTCCTCTCGCTGCCACTGCTGTTCCACGGAGCCAGAAAGATTGGGGACTGCTGATCTAGGAGACTAAATTAAATTCTTGCAATTGCACATGTCAGTATTCATGAGACTACCAGCAGGAAAACATTTTTAACAACAATGGTATGCATGACAGGGTTGCAAGGAAAAAGTGTATTCTCCCAAAAGAACATCGCTACTCATTTAGAGTTGGCAAAACATTACATGGATAAGCCAAGCAAATACTGGAAAATTGTTCTGTGGATAACAAAACCAAAGTGGAATGTTTTGGCTTGAATGAACTTACCTGGATTTATTTAATAAGTAAGACTATATGTTGGTTGACCCATGATGGTGCAGTGGTTAGAATGCAGTATTTCAGGCTAAATCTGCCCACTGCCAGGAGTTTGATCCTGATCGGCTCAAGGTTGACTCCACCTTCCATCCTTCTGAGGTTGGTAAAATGAGGACCCAGATTGTTGGGGGCAATATGCCGACACCGTAAACCACTTAGAGCACGTCAAACTTGCGACGTATTGCGACTTTTTTCCCATTGCTGGCAATGGGGTGGGTGCGGTTTTGGCATGACGAATCCAGCCTGCAGGCCGGCAGTTTGACACGCCTGACTTAGAGAGTGCTGTGAAACACTATGAAGCAGTATATAAGTCTAAGTGCTATATAGCTATTAGTTCATTTTGACAGCTCTCCGCTACTAAACCTATTTTTAAAAGTTTTGAAAGTGGATGCATTTGTTTTGTTTCCACATCAAAACATGTTTCCATTCATGAAGACCTTTATATGCAGTACCCCCTAATAAAAAGCTATGTGTGACTAAAAAAGAATTGTGCAGACCTAGTTTGTGTCTTATTCAGACTAAAATATTTATACTGCTAGGAATCAGTTTGCATCTAATACAGAAGATCATGTTAAATAGATTAGAAGCCAGTATTAAACAAGGAAATTATTTTTTTATATGCAACAAAAACCAATATGTAGTGTACACATCATAAAATACTTGGCTTTTAATACTGATTGCTTACCTGTGACATGTTGATAACGTGTTCTTCCCAGCATGGAATGCATAGCATGTCCCATTTCATGGAAGAGATTCTCCATCATTCCAGGAGTGAGCAACGTTGGTGAACTATTATTGGACTGAGGTAAACTTAGCATGATGACGACAACAGGAAGTTGATATTCTCCATTTTCTTGCAGTCTGCCTCCACGGATTGTAAAGTGACAATCCTATATTTAAAAAAAAAAAAACACACAACACACTCACACAACCACTCTCTATCAGAAATATTCAATATTTTGCCATGTTAACATCTGAAAGTAATATCAGCACAATTTGTAAGAGTCACAAACTGTTTATAATTATAGCATTATCTAAAATTTTAATTTTTGAAATATATCAGAACTGATGTTGAAGTACTTTTATAGACTTGACTAAGCAGAACAAGGCCTTTTGCAGCACTTAAATCTTCTACATATTTTTTAGATTTCTTTTATAGTTTACTTTTAATTTCAACTGAACACCAAATCCCTGAATTCAACTGAAAATTTGAATGAAATTTAATGCACGCCTGCCAACCAATACGTAGTATGTTTTCTGGGCTTTGGGAGATCACATTTTCTGTAGATGATGTGTTATTTTTGAAGGATTATGGAAATTCCTATCTCCACTAAGCATTTCATTCCAATAGTACATGGGAATTTCCTAATTAAAGTGCCTTTTGGGAAGGTATGGGAACTTCTGGAACAAGGGAACAAGAAAAGCTCCTTCCATGAGCTTTCTCTCAGTCACAGATCCTAAAATGTAAGACAGTGTAATTTTATACTTTTAAACATATTCTCACCAAACCCAGAAAGCAATATCTTTACATAGAACTGTACTATCAGATCTAAGAATGGGACCTGATATGTATATTGCTTAACACAATGTTCCAAAATGGCCAAGACCAAGCAAGAAATATCTAAGATGATAGTGTTATTAAAACATGCAATTAATATAGACATAATTTTATATCTAAAGTAATCTAACCTAACCACTTTAAAGGAAAAAACAGTTTCCAAACATATTCATTCTGATTTGGAAAAAGTATAATCCAGTTTTAATGATTACCATTCTTTTTCAGTTGTGAGAACATCCTCCAGGTATTACTGAACTACAATTCCCATCAGCCCAAACCAACCAAGAATTATGAAGAATTATGAAAGTTATAGTTCAGCTACATCTGAAGAGACATAGATTCCTACCTAAATTCTGATATAATAGAATTCATTAGTTGAGTTATGTCTACTTTTCTGTCCTTAAAATATTCAAAGTTGAATGAATATATAAAGAATAATTTTATTAATTCCAATGTGGTTTTTGTTTCAATCACAGAATGTTGTCATTTAGTAGTAGTAGTAGTAGTAAAGTTGGAAGAGACCTTGGAGGTCATCTAGTCCAACCCCCTGCTCAGGCAGGAAACCCTACACCATTTCGGACAAATGGCTGACCAGTCTCTTCTTAAAAACTTCCAGTGTTGGAGCATTTACTGCTTCTGGAGGCAGGTTGTTCCACTGATTAATTGTTCTCACTGTCAGGAAGTTTCTCCTTAGTTCTAGGTTGCTTCTCTCCTTGATTAGTTTCCACCCGTTGCTTCTTGTCCTGCCTTCAGGTGCTTTGGAAAATAGCTTGATTCCCTCTTCTTTTACAAAAGGCTTACTGTATACTGCTATTTGAAATAGGGTTTTGGTTTCAAATACCAGTGTTTGTTTCTGATACAACAAGAAGGAAAAAGAAACTCATGCTCCACTGATCAATCAGAATACGGAAAAGTAAACTATCTCCTTGGATATGACTCAAGACAAGGGTCCCCAGCCCATGGGCCATGGACTGGTACCAGTCTGTGGCACACCAGAAACAGGGCTATGCAAACAAGCAAAGCCCTATCTGCAGGATGCAGGCAGCACATGAAATCACGCCCCCTCCAGCCTACGGAAAACCTCTCTTCGTGGAATCGATTCTTGGTTGGGGGCCACTGCCTTAAGAGAATATAGCCAGTGGTCAAAATATTCTCTATGCACTAAAATGAAGAAAGGCCACAAAAGAACTAAACATTAAAGCATTCTTTCCCCCAAAGCCCAAAGTGATGGGTTTTGTCATTCCCTCATTTAAGGCTATGTTAAATGTTTTATTAAGTTGTTTTCAAAACAATGGTTACTGAAAGTTGTCATCTTTTCAGGCCGTAATTCTGGATATCTGAGGTGGGACAGAAGGAATTTGCAAATATCTACTTCTAATGCAGGAGACATCAAAAAAGGAAAGTAGTTATTCTGATTCTCGATTATCTGCACTATTTTTGTATTCTTAAACATGTTATTATTGCAAAAATACAAAAAAAATACTTGGATTTAACTCAGATTTTTTTTTACCAAATGTAATTTTAGTGGCATATCCTTAATTTGCTCTGAATAATCAAATAAGTTTTATTGGAGGGTGGGGATAAGATAAATTCAAAGTGATCATTGATGTTAGAGAGTTACCTGATGAGGCTTGTCTGGCCTTTGAAAAAAGTCACAGTAAATATATCCCAATAATCCTTCTTGTTCATGGACAACTGCCTAAAAATAAAAGGTGAAAGTTGAAAAATTGGCCACGTAGTGAACATTGATAATTTCATACCAAAATCTAAACAGAAAAACTGTCTAACTGCATTCCACATTTGATTTTCATCTAATAATGGAGGCAGTTTGAAGACAGAATCAGTCTGAATTAGTTTTGTCATATGAGCATTTAGTGGAATCCTAGCTGTTCTCAGAAACCATCTTAGTGATTGCTAGAGCTTAAAGTCTACAAATGCACATAAACCTAGTAAATCTTATTTTTTCCTCAATCACAGATTTAACACTGAGTTTAATTTCCATACTGTTAATTTCTCCCAAGTCCTACTTAAATCAAATAAATTATGATTGATGAAATAGAATTTCAGCAAGATTAAAGCAGACCTAATTTAGCATAGATTCAACTCAAGTAGCATAATCAAAGCTTTAAATAGATAGTGGAGAAAGATTATTATTGTTATTTCTACTTAAAAGATGTAGTATATTTATTCCTTTTGTCTCTTAACTATAAGACATTTAGAAATTAAATCTCTTACCAGTTTACGAACATCTTCACACCACACTTCTCCATTCTCAGGCTGTTCAGCATAGAGAGAGATTCCTAGAAGCTTATTGAACAAAATGTTCAGTCCATCCATACATGCCCCAAGAGAGAAAAAGGGACAATATAGGGCTGGTTCAATATTATACCTAAAACATCCAAAAAGAATGTGTGTTACAAAAGAACACGAGGCTGTCCCACCTAAATACATCACCAACTGGGTGACTTTGGGTCAGTCACTCTCTCTCAATTCAACCCACTTCACAGGGTTCTTGTTGTGGGTAAAATAGGAGGTGGAAGGTATATATGTTCATTGCCTTAGATTGTTAATAAAGGCAGGATACAAATAAATAAAATAAAAATAAACTATCTCATATATATTGATACATGTATATGCACTTGCTAGCAAGACTGGAATTTTATGAAAATTGCTGAGCTTCTGCCCCCAAATGTAAATTATGTATAAAAAAAGGTATTTTAGACAGTTTGTATTTCCACTGGTCTTTATGCTTATTTGAATCACATTGATGGGACATTCTGTCTGAAGCAAGGAAACCCAACAACCTATTGACATCATGCTGGACATTACCGCTGGGTGTGAGAAGTGAGATCAGCTAGATGATGGACTCATAACAACATCTTGTTTTAGGCATGATATCAGATCACAATAGTTACACAAAACCTAATAAGCACAGTAGAGTCTACAATATATTTGGTTGCCAATATATTGATTGTGCCATATGAAGTAAGAAGACTTGATTATAGGAAACTGATATATTGATTGTGCCATATGAAGTAAGAAGACTTGATTATAGGAAACTGAAAGTATCGAGAATATAGCAAACAATGTAAGGACATAGTAACATGTACAAAAGATAGGTAGAAGACTGGCAGATGCATCTATAAAGACCAACTGTCAGTCAGAAAATATGATGAAAACTTTTTAATTTCACAAAATTTGGACAAATTCAACCACAGTTTCAACTGGCAATCTGATATTTTAGATCAAGCCAAATCCCCAAATGCTAGGGAATTCCTGGAAGCTTTGCATTCAGACATCATTTATCACTAGACACATAAACTCCATTTAAAAGTTATAATCAAATGCCTTTAAAAAATTTTAGAAATTTATGTGGCAGCCCATGTTACTTGCATAATTCCAGGTGGCTAATAAACCAGTTCATAAGAAAAATATATAACCCCTGTGATCAAAACAAAAGGCATAGTTAAGTTAATCAAATAAATGTGGGTCATTTTGCAAATGCTTCTTGGGAGCCTTAACTATTCCCAAAATACTGAGCAGAATATTCTTTTCTACCTTCTCTCTAATGTTCCTGCCTATCTTTATCTTTCTTTCTGGGTTTGTAGGCCTTACGAAAGAACTATGAACTACAGCTATTCATTAAGCTTTGGAGAGCCATCTGAAGCCTGGAAGCATTTTGAGAATCAAAGTGACATTCAAGCCTTGCTACAGCATGCCAGCTTCCTAATATAATGTAATTATTGTTGATAGTATAGGTATATTGTATTATATTGTAATATATTCTATTGTAATATATTGTTTGCTTTTTAGAGCAGATTTTGAAATTTATATCAGAAGTAACATTAGACTAATATATCACATAACCAACTGAATAGAAAACTTTTTATTGTGTGATAGCCCAACATACATAGCAGTAAAGTTGATAAATTAAAGAGGACATTGATTTACTTGAACTGAAATCCTGATTCATATTAAAAGGAACAGTTTGTAGGATCGGTGAAGGTTTCTGAAGAGGAAAGAATCCAAGGATTTCAGTTTGGCTCAATAACATTTTTATAGGCAAGAAGTCAGGTTGACTGGTCCAATGAAGTAAATAAAGTTTGTTCATTATTATTCATGAACAGCATGATTCAAACATTAAAGACTGCTACTAAAGGGCAATAATTTCAGTGGGCCATGATAAACAATTATTTCTAAGCCTGTATGCTTCCAATGGTCTAAATAAAATACAGGCATATACAATTACTCTCAATTAGTCTGTACGTTTGGGGAAAATATGTTTTGTAAGACTGCCATCAACTTTGCTAAATGGGTTTTTGATAGCCTTAATTATGAAAATTATTATATTTAAATATCTATTATAAATTATTCAGCTGAAATTTCATGTGGCATTCATTTACCACAGTTTGCAAGGCAAAAGATTCTGTATTGTGTTGTCAAGAAAAAAATAAACCTTTAGATAAAGGGTGTTCCACTGAGTGGCGATTTGCCAGAGGTCCTGTCATTTTGTCCACACTCTTGAGAATGGGAGGTTCCTCAACATATTTTCTCTAGAAGTCCTGGTCATACAGTCAATTTTGTCCACAAAATTGCCTCATGTTAGGCTAAAATATTGGATTTAACTCACAATCACCCATGGCTTTGTGGTTAAGACACATTTTGAAACAATCTACAGTATATTATATATATCCATTTTATGAACTCTCTCTCTCTCTCTTCAGACTGCAACCTTAAGCCGTCTTAATAGATCATCAATGTCTAAGATTTTTAACCTACAACATTTCCTGTGTAGCATCCATATGTGTATACATGTGTATGTGTATTTTTCCTCATTTATAAACAAAATCTGAATATATTTTTCAAAATTCATAGAAATGTATTTTAACAGTTAAAATAATACAGACCATCCAAAATTGATCACCTAGATGCTCAGTGTGCCTTCAACCCAAGTTTAATTTGATGTTTGAGGCTTCTAAATAAGCAAACATAGGAAACCCCACTGAGCTTCATGGGATTTATTCCTAAACATACAGTTACAATCTTAGTAATAAATATAGTCAATCAAAACCTGGTGAATTGTACCCTTATGCACAATTTTCCAACTAAGACTGGAAATTATGTTCATTCATAGCCCAATCCTATGCATGTTAATTCATAATTATGTCTTAGTACCTCATGCAGGACTTATTGCCAAATATCTATTTACAGGATTAGGGTCTTATAGAAGCCTGAGCATGTTTAACTAAAATTACGTACCATGCTAATAATTCTAAAATCTACTGGATTTTACACTCTAAAATCCAATAGAAGAGAGAATATGTAGTTCAGAGTTCAAGTGTCTTTAGTGCTCTCTAGGTTTGGTTGTTTGCTTGCAGATGTTTCATTACCCAACTAGATAATATCATGAGTGCTAGTGAGTGTGAAGTTTGCTCCCTGTTTGTATACAATAGTTTGCCCCGCCAGTGTTTGTGGGGTGTGTGGTTTTCTCCTTGTAGTTTCTTGATTAGAATATTATTTTCAGCTTGTTTATTTATCTAGTGTTAATCTCCACTTATTGGAGTATTGGCTGCTGGAGATGACGTGTTCTGGTCTTTTTGTTTCCTTCTGAACTTTTTTAGTGTATATTTTGAATGGCATATAAATTTGGTTTACTGTATTTCTATGTGTCTATGGATGGCTGATTTGTCTAAATGTCAAACTTCCAAGAATTCCCTAGCATTTTTTGTTTAGTTTGGGCTAGGATTCTTAGTTTTTCAGATGAAATTATTAATGAATCTGTCTATGTGTTGGGAGATTAAGGAGTTTTCACTGTGTCTGGGATTCAAATTCTAGAGCCTCAAACTGCCTGTTTCTGGTACAAGAAAATACACCTTAATTAATTAGAGACGGTTTAGCAATTTTTTAATATTAGCAATTTTTAATATATGCAAAGCAAACTTATTTCTCCCAAGAGCTGCATTTTTTAAAATGACATTTATTAATTTAATCCCATTACTTCATCTTGTATGCTACTCTGAAAACTCAAAGCATGTACAACTACAGTATTATATTAAAATACACAAAATTAATTGTATAATCTTAAACAACAATAAGTCCCTAGTGTGTCACTATCTGGGCAGCAAAATCCTTCAGATACCTCAAAATATGTCTCTGAGGAACCATGTTTCATAGTTTTTCAAAAATATAGTACTGAGGGGATTTTAATATAGAGTAAAAACAATAATGTATCACAGACCATTATTTAAAAAAATACAATTCCGAGTAGAATGCAAATCACACTGCTACTGTGAGATAGTAAATCTAAAAGACTGCTCATCCAAAATAAAACTTTACAGCGGTGGAAAAAAAGAGTTATATTTAGGCAAGAACTCCCTCTAGTGTTGAAATATCTGAAAATGCTATTGCGGTTATCATAGAGCTAGGCTGAAAAATTTTGCTGTGTCCAATAAGATTTATCTGCTTCCTTTCCCTTCCAAACTAATTCATTGCAATTATAGGATCCTCTGTATTGACTCTGAAGATAACTGAAGTGATTATTGGAAGATTTCTCTGCTCTTTGGTTTAAGATTCCAATTTAAGGTATTGACATGGTAAATATCTTATTTGGGCAGGAAGAACCCCAAAAGGAGTTATTAGGGAGTAAACCTAACCTTTCATGCCTAAGAACTCTTAATAATAATTAAAAAAAACTAGAGAGTTAACCGATGGGTCCAATGCTTACCTCTCAGCACGTAAGACACCACTAAGGTATGGGTGATCCCAAGGCATTAATTTCTGAAAATGAAAGAAACCAAATCTTGAAACACTAGCAGAGTATTCTAGCAGGTATCATATCGAGGGTTAAGTTATTATGAATGATATTTTAATATACTGTACAGAGGGTTGTGTTTCTGAAAGCTTTAACCGTATTATTTTTCAAATACACATGCTATTTTATTATTAGGGCTGTATAATTAAAGTATTAAAAATATAAAAACAAACAAAGGCAGAAAGGAAAAAGATAACGATCCAGTTTTATACAATATGTATAATTTCTCAAGTCTGATTTCATTCTTCTCAACCTTATATCAATCCTGAACAGGTTTAACTTAAGATACCATATTATATTTTCTATCTTAACATTTTATTTGTAATGTTAAAAGTAGTATCTGTCTTTTAGCATTTTATTTCTTAAAAAATATTAATCCTAAAACCAAAAACTGAAATGACATGAATAAAAACAAAATTCTATCAAGTCAATTTATTGTTGGAATTATTGCAAAATTTTTAAAATTAGGTTCAATTTAGATAAGTTAAACAGGAAAAAATGCATCACTTACTGATTTGAAAGGATATAGTTTCATTTTCATACCTTCCATCATTTCAAAATCCTTTTGAGTGCTACAAAACAATTTTATAATTAATTTTTCTTTAAATTCTTTAACTTTAATTCATACAAAGATAAACATAACTCAAGCAAAAACTGAATAAAACTTAATCAGAGATGCATATATTCTTCATTTTTCAGGCCTTTTCCAATAACATAATACTAAAAAAATATTGGGAATATTTTCTTCTCCCCATTATTAGAAAATAATTAAGAGTGTTTAATATTTTAATTAAGGTTTGAAAAAGAAAATAAAAAGAATGAGGATATTTTAATTCCTATTATATTATGAAATTACAATTACAAAATTATTTTTGCTTTGAAACAAAATTAATTTGCTTTCTGAATAAAATTAAATGAAAAAAGACTCACCGACTGAATAATTTATCTGAAAGCTTTGTAAGAAACTGCATTACTGTCTCTAAAAAAAAAAGAAACTTTTAAGAAATAACACAACTGTAGTTTTTATATAAAATATATTTACTAAACTGCCTACAATTAAAAACTGAATTAAAATCACACTAAAAAAGGCTGAATAGTAATCAGTATTTTAGTACCAAGGTAGCTATAAACAATGCTAAAACTGAAAATATATTGCTGAATAAATCCAAGTCTCTGAAGATAACAATGAAATGCTGTTTTTGAGCCTTGTAGAGAAATAAAATGGGCAGAATTTAATAAGCAGTAATATTTAACACTGAATTCAAGATGAAAACTTGGGTATGGTAATCCTCACTTGCCAACAACCTCATTCAGCGACCGCTTGAAGTTGCAACGGTGCTGTTCCCTTTTAGCCTGGCATCAGACATGACTGAAGGGAGGAGGGTTCTTCCATGGAACAGGAAACTTAAACCCTGACTTCTAGGGAGAAAAGGTGTTAACCCTGTCACATGATTGTCATTTACAGTTAGTACACATCCTATGCTTGACCTATGTTTATCCCCCTTGCAGAGCAGAGAGATTGGAGAGGAAAGAATGTAAGCACACTATAGATAATACACACTGAAAGCATTGCATTGGCATTTGTTAGCACACTATACAAACAGACTGGTATATTCCTTATTCTGTGAAGGGGGAAGAGAAAAAAAAGCAATTTCTGAAAGCAATCTCTTCTGTGTCTGACCTGCTACCTCCCCTCTGTAGAGAAGAGAAATTGGAGAGGAAGAGATTACTAAGTAATTAGGCACACAATGGTGTATATACTAGGCTGTTTGTGCAATGTGCTCTTGACTGCTAGTCCCAGTGCATTGCTTTTGATGTGTTTTTCCCTTGTGGATCTGCTTACTCTTTTTTAATCCCTTTCTCTCTAATGAATGTAACATGTAAACATTAATTCCCTTCTTGTTAATTATCCCAGCTTCAGGATGAGCATTCCAAAGGATGGGGGAGCAGTGTGATTAGTATTGTCAATTTTAGAGCTGGAAAGGACTGTGGTAGACTTAACATCTGTTTTGCTTAGGGACAGAGTTGCCAGTGCTAATTGTGGTTACTAAACTGGACTACCTGTATTAGTACGTAAACCCAAACATGGAAACTTCAGCATTAAACTAGACTATTCACTGAAATCTATACAGACAAAGAGCAATTTTAATGTGGATCAGTAATCATTGCAATAATAATAATCAACAATAAAAGAATAAAAGTGTTTCCATTTGCTGATTTTACTGACACTTGTTTCTTTGGAATTTTTTTCCTGTAAAGATCAAATTAACATACTGTGTTGATCATAGTGTGGCAAAATGAAAATCTACTCTAGGAAAAAAAATATTTTTTAAAAAATAAAATCCCGCAAACTTTTAGAACAGTGGTTCTCAACCTTTTTAATGCCGCGACCCCCAACCGGTCGTAAGTCGAGGACTACTCAACCAGTCGTAAGTTGAGGACTACTCAACTGGTGCATTTTGGCGGGCTCAGCAGGGCAGAGACAGCCTGGACAATTCCTATTGGCTTTTGAAAGCCAATAGAATTAGACTCTATTCAAGAGAGTCTATTCTATTGGCTTTCAAAAGCCAATAGAATAAAAGGGAGTAGCACAGCTAAGGAAAAGGGGGAAAAAATGGCGGACTGTGTTGTTTGGCGACCCCCGTGAAATGGTTGTTCGACCCCAAATGGGGTCCCGACCCACAGGTTGAGAACCACTGTTTTAGAAGATTACAAAATGTAACCATTATATTTCTAGCAAAACGCTGCTCCTAATTCTGTGCAGTAGTCTGTATAACTAGCACTGGCTCTCATCTCTTCCTTCTCCTTCAGTGCAAAGATGCATTTACCTGGGGTTTGGGTCATTGTTCCTTGAAGAGCTCGATGAGCAAATGTATCATAGCCAACTAACTGGGCCAGAGCATTTCTACTGGCAAGCAATTCATCTAAACATTGTAGTTGCTGAATATTCGGGTATAGAAAAACTTTGTAGGCGACTTCACGTACCTAGAGTTAACAACAATGAAAACAATGAATAAACTTATATAAAGTAGCATATAATGTTGACAGTTAAACTACCATCACCATATGTGTTTTATAATAAAAGGCTTTTACAATAGAGGAACTCCCAAAAAAATAGACATAAGCAGTTTACAAGTAAGCCCTTAATTTATTGACCTCAGTATCAGACTTCAGGTACCTTGGCTGTTTTTTTTCCTTCTCTGATAATGAAGTGGTTCGCTACTGATAATATGAAAAAATTGATCATTATTCCATTTGACAAACTAACAATATTTTTATGAATGTATCTTGTCTTTTTCCTCTTTTTTGTATATATCACATGTCACAGAGTCTTTTAAACTACACCTAATTTGTGACATTGCCTAATTTGGTGAATTCAGGACAGCAAAAGAACCAATTACAACACAAGCCCTTAAACAACATACTCAAGCCCTCACCTACTATTGCTCACTATTCTCCACTCTTCCCCACTGCTAAAATACTCCTTGTAAGTACTGCTAAAAAAACCCATCTCTTTCTGGTTGCTTTACTTCCACAGACACACACCTTCCCTCATGTGTATCACAGCACAGCTTTTATAGTCAGCTTTGCTGTACTGGTGAGAAGGCTTAAAGCAGGGATCTTCAAACTTGGCCCTTTTATGATTTGTGGACTTCAACTTCCAGAATTCCTCAGCCAGGCTTGCGAGGCTAAGGAATTCTGGGAGTTGAAATCCACAAGTCATAAAAGGGCCAAGTTTGAAGACCCTTGGCTTAAAAGGTCTGCAGAGAACACAGGTGCTAGCAATTTTCTACGCTAGCCTGCTCTCTCATAGGTCATCAGAAGATATAGCAGAGGGAAAAGAGCTGGAGTTGACAGGAAAGTGTTAATACCACCTTTTCTTCCCAAAAGGCAAGGTTAAGCTTCCTGTCCCAAATGAGGAGTCATTTTCCGTTCAGTCACATCTGATGCAAGGCTAAAACAGAATGCTCTGAACTGCAACTGATTGATCCAATTTCCAAACCTGAACTTCTGATGGAGGATTCTGCATAATTAAGCCTCAACCAAATTTTCAGAACCAGTAGGATGGCTTCCATAATTGAGTTTAATGCATACATCCTAAATGCCTGATGAATCTATTTTATTCCTGTACCTGAGATTCAGGATAGCTCTCCAATCTCCATCTCCAAAAACCAGAAGGAAAAAAAACAGCAGGGATTACCTCTTCTGCAGTATAAAATTCTGTTGTATTCCTATGCTTAGGTTCTGCTTTGTCCCTTAATTCTGGAATTCTCCTTTTTCTTGGAGGCAGGAGATGAAAGTTCTCCTTTTTCTTGGAGGCAGGAGATGAAAAAAACCTGTCATTCAGCTTTCATGTACGTTCTAGCTCATTCTTGTAAATGAAGAATACCCCCACCAGGCCAAATCTTTACAGTGATTTATTCTACCAGATTGTTTCTGGTTGTAGTGGTTTTTCTCAAATCACATGCCCACTTGCTAAAGGGCATTTTGGTTTTTGCCTCCTTTGCCTCACTATTGAGTGGGTGCTTTGGCTATTAAGGTTGGCAGCCCAAGACATAAGCATCTTTGTCTGCTATTAGAAAGAAGGCAGAGGTTTCAATTTTTGATAAGGAAAGAAAATGTAGGACTTCTTTGTTTGCAATTGTTTTTTTTTTCCTTCCTTGCTTCCCTTGTCCTTCAATATATCTCCATATTCATCATCCTTTAACTCACCAGACTACACTCTGCTAGCATAAGAAGAAACCTAGTGGCTCTGGGTTCTTGATTTACTGTTGTTTACTGTTAGCTTGTTTGTTTCAGTTGGCAGTTCCTTGATTGGGGTGTTGTCTACTTCTTGATTATTGTCTAATTAATCCTGGTGTTAATCTCATTTGGATGTTGACTGCTGGCTTTGGACTTTTTATTTCCTTTTTAAATTTTTGTCTCTTTTGAATAGCATGTAGATGTTGTTGATCTCGATGTGCCTGTTGATGGCCGATTTATAAACAATAGCCTAATGAAGGACTCACCAAGACCACTCCTATACCAATGCTGACAGAGTAAGCGATTAGTATATGACAGCACTCCCTCTAGCACTGATGACACTGCCTAATTTGGTAATGAAATGCCTGCAAGAAAACAACCAAGCTCAAAGAAGACCAAGGATTCCACAAAAAGAAGTCTTCTAGTTAGAAATGGTGGCGTTAAATGTTTTCTCTTGGCTTCACTTCTGGAGATTGAAAATTGAATTTTTCTTCCACTTACTACTGATTCTTCCACAAATCAAATATGAAGAAATTATAATAATAAAATAAAGGGAGAATAATTAGCAGCATATTTTGCTCTTATATCTTTTCTAATCATAAAATTGAACCCGCCACCACAGTTTGCAGCTCATCATATGTAATCTGAATATGCCTCACTTCAAATTACAAAAAAATCCTTCCTTCCTGTTTCTACTACTTGGATTATTTATTTTGCTCCATTTTAAAATGGTACACTGTAAAGATGACCACTTATAAAAGTACTCATATATTGCTAAACAATTATACAAACCATATTGGGCTATTTTATGCATACATACCAAATCATCTGGATTGTCTGCACTGAGACAACTGATTTGGGCAAAATTGCCTTCAACTGCAAAGTTATGGCGAATGTGTTCTGGTAACAAATGCTTTTCAATCTTGTTTGGAAGATGAGACCCCAGGAGAAATTCATTACATAAATCCAAAATTTTGACATTAAGATTTACTGCATTTCTGCGCTGCAAATAAGGAAAAAAAATAGGTATTTTTTTGAAGAATCAATATATTAAAATGTTTACAGAAAACACTGAAAATAGTAGCATCCATAAATTCCCATTGAGATTAGTACTATGTGCCTGTTGATGGCCGATTTGTAAACAATAGCCTAATCAAGGAACCACCAACGCTGACAGGGCAAGCCACTAGTACATAAAATGAGTGCAAACCCCACTCCATTCTAGCACTGATGACATTGCCTAGTTTGGTAATGAAATGTCTGCAAGCTCAGAAAGCATATTTAGCTTATCTACACAAGACAATTTATGGATTCAACTGGATTCCAGCAAGTTTGGGATATAACACGTGTGTTGCAAGAACTGCAGCATTTGTTAATGGTATCAGGTCTAATTCAAAGTGATGGTTATTCCTATAGAGTGCTTTATGGCTTGGGTTCTCATGATTTTCAGGACTGTGTAGTCCAGGCAATTATGTGCACTCAAGACAAGTTGGTCAAAAAAAGGAGGAAATTTTTCAAGGTGGCAACACTGTCACTCTGAAACTGCTTGCCTCCCATGTTGTAACCCAGCACTCCTCAACCTTTCCAGCTTGGTGACCCAGCCTGGCACGGGGAGTAGGGAATGTGTGAGTGGCAGGCCCACACAAAGCTCCATTCGCACACACATGCTCTTCACTCACACAAATGGAGCTTCCGCGCGAGTGGAGGATGCTTGCACTTGTGCACGAAGCTCTACTCGCGTGAGCGGAGACCACTTGAGCAGACTACCCAGAGTCACCTTGTGATGAGATAGGCAGCAAATAAATTTAATAAATAAAATAAATCAATCAATAAAGTCAGGATTGCCCAACTCTATTAAAAGTTTAAAATTTATTTGCAGGTTGACTAGTATGAAACATTCCAAATGGGGTTGATGGCAGTATGAAGGTATACAACATAATGTTTGTTTTTAATTGGCTGTTTTTTAATTATTGCAAGCCACCTAAAGAGTATGTGGCATCAAAACGACTGCCTACTTGCAATATTTAATTTCTGTAAGTAATAAATACCTGTTCTTCATTCAAATGAATACCACTGATCTCAAAATCAAACATGAAAAGTTCTGCCACTCGCCTGAAAGAATAAAATTCCATTGACAGAAAATAATGTCAGATGAATAATAATATAAACCAAATGTTACAGATAAAATACTAAGAGGTGAATTTAAGACATGCAGGTACAAAAACTATTCAGTTCAACAAAGCTCACAAAAAGGTAAGCAGCTACATTCAGATAGTCCTCAACTTACAACAGTTTGCTTAGTGACTGTTTGAAGTTACAACAGCACTGAAAAAAGTGACTTATGACCATTTTTTACACTCATGACCATTGCAGCATCCCCATGGTCATGTAATTTACATTTGGATGCTTGACAACTGACTCACATTTATAACCCTAACCTTTTGACAATCAAAGTCAATGGAGAAACCAGATTCACTTAACAACAGTGTTACTGATTTTATAACTGCAGTGATTCACTTAACAAATGTGGCAAGAAAAGTCGTAAAATGGGGCAAAACTCACTTGACAAATTTCTCATTTAGCAGTATAAATTTTGGGATCAATTGTGGTCGTAATTTGAGCACTACCTGTACCACAGCCTACTTGTTTCTCTATTCACAGTATCATATGTTTCTCTATTCACAGTATCATATGAAAAACAAAGATGTGTACAAGATGTGGTATTATTTAATTACTGTAACTGATAGAAATTCATTTAAAATTAAGACACATCCCCCTTCCGTTTTATGACTGTATATTTAGAAATAAGTCACAGTAAGTAAATATTGCTTGTTTTTAAGTTAGCATGCAACCTTAGTTATTAGGAAAATTATAGTTACTAGAGAAATACGGCAAATAGATGCCAGATACCTAAGATAGCACTTACAACAATAATATTATTTATAATTTATTGATTGACAGATGGTGCTGGAAACAAATGATCATATATAAATATCCATCTTTTAGACAATGGAATATAATTCTTTATATGTCTTAGTTAATAGGACAATTAAATAATTTGAATTCAAAAGAGAAGAGATTATTCAGAGCACACATAAGCACACACCTTTCATCTATTAGTTCTTCCTTAAATTAATCATTTTCCCTGTGATTCCATGGTAATCCCAGGAAAAGACATAGCTTTTTAAGAAGTTGACAGCAGGTATGACACCCACACCCATAATCAGAATCATTTTTTCCTCTTCAAAATCAAGACTGCTGCATGTTTTATCCTATTCAGTTACAACCTGTAGCATAAGCTAAATCTGCCAAAAACTAAAGGCAATCTTAGTTTGTAGATTAAACAAAACACATTATTTCATTTGATCTGATCTGTGTATACGTTGCACATATATGTATATAATTTCCTTGTCTTGTTGGCCAAATTTTATACTAGGTTGAGTGTAGTCTTAGTCAACTATGGTAAGAAGCATACAGGAAAAAGAATGCAAAAACAAAATTGTAAATTATGCCTCTAGAAAAAGAAAGAAAAGAAACAGAATTAAGCCAAAACAGAAACCAAAAATAATTTAAGCAGTCCAGAATAATCAAGAATGCCAAATAAGATGAACAAGAGGCAATTTTTCAAAGGTTTCTTTGCAATCAGAATTGGAAGTAGATTTTGAAAGGACATTAAATATGCAGTTGAAGAAAGGAACAGCTATCAAAGGAGAAAAGTGGAGGTAATAGGGATATTGATGCAAATAACCCTTGCAAAAATCAGATTACGGTGTTTTGTAAAAATTCTTCAAGATTGGAATAAATAATGCACTCATAGATATTATACAGTCTGAAACAAATTCACAATATGTCCCACAGTAACATATGTGCTGATCTAGTGGAATATAGTATTCCATGTTCACTTTGAATATTACAAGAAAATTCTTACTGTAAAAATTAAAATATACCTTGTTTGAGGGTCAAGAGAATCCATAACATCTTTATCAATTAACAATCTTCTCAGACTCTGACATAAATCCACATTTGTGTTTAATCTAGAAATATAAAAAATAGATATATTCAGTATTACATTTACAATTAGGTATTACCAGTTTCTGTATTTCTCTCATGTTTTATAAACTTATTCAACTTCAGAAAAAGTTATCTCAGACACAGCCAGCAGAAAGAAGACAGCAAAGCAATTTACATCACAAATACTTTTTTTCAGCATATCCAAGATATGTAAGTAACTTATTAAAATGATAAACAAGGCAACAGAAAATATAATCCTAGAGTGATTCCAATTTTAGATGTTAATATGGAATTACCATATCTTATACACTCACTTTTTACAGAACATCTGCATGATATTTTCATCCAATTATTCAATTACTGCCTTCCTGTGTTTTCTGTGATTTTTCCATTTTTTTTAAAGGCGGGAGAAAGTATGGCTTTTGGGGGGGCAGGGGCAAGAACACAAAATGTGAAGGATATAGATCACTTTACATCACTTCCCCCCCCCCCCTTTTCCTCTCTCTTCCTGGGTTGGGTTTCAGTAAACCAGTATACATCTAATAGTACGGTAGAACTGTGCAACCTAGAGGTCTGTTTCATGTATGACATTAAGACATAATGGATTGTTTCACATACTGCAAAAAACAAATCATATTTGTTGCCAATCACTATGTGTGAACAATATAAGAAATGATTAATCTGACAAGTAAACTTATAGCCACTCAACATTTTTTCAATTGGTGAATGTAGTTTCAAGAAACATGTTAGCTCTTATAATTCATTATAAAGACCTATAGTTTCGCCATGGCTTTTCTTTAGGAATATTTCTTTTCTTAATAAACTAGACTTTACTTCATGGGAATAAATAAGAATACTTTGCTATTGATTAGTGACTAATAGAGGCACACATTCTACCTTGAGTCAACTTCGATGATTATAGAATACAATAAAAAATGGTATAAGAATACTTTCTGCTGTATTGTCAGGCACAAGCAATTAGAACCACTCATGAATAGATTCAGGCTGTAACTTTATTGTTTATCATCTATGTTGTAAGAATCTCACCAGACTGCTTGCCTTACCCTGGGAAATGACCAGACAAGACTTTATATTTGGGGGGAAGTCACGCTTATGCAGTTTGTGACTGTGCAATGGCTCCAAACTAGGCCCTTGTTTGACCCCCTCTCTGCAATCTAGCTGGCAATTCCCTAATAAGTTTATCTGTCCTAATATTAAGTAGGTTTGACTCTGCTTAGTATTTTTTAAAACTCAGCCAATGTTGTTAGGTGCCATTTCCTGCTATCAAGTTATTGATCACTTCAGCGCAGATTAACCAGACAAACCAGCTTTCCTCAATCTCAGCACCTTTCAGCTACACAGACCTCAATTCCAAGAATTCTCAAATAATAGCCAGTCTGGCTGGAAATATGGGGAGCAGAAGTTCATACATCTAGAAGATAACTGTGGAAGGATGATACAAAAATATTGAATAAAGCATACTTTTCTACCATAGTACCAATGCTTCTGCAGGCTTCCTCAGCAGCATCTCTAAACGCAAGATCAGGATGGGCTATTTTCACAAAGTCAGCCTGTTATAGTAAAAAATATGAAAGCACAAAAAGATGAGAAATTATTGCATTAGCAGTTGCAGAAAAACAGAAAAGCTTGCTAACCGCATAAATATTGTACCTGATTTGAAATATTCATAATCATATATGTTTTCAAAGAGCTATTAATTAAAATTACTCCTTACATTAACATTTCTGTAACAGTTGAAGAAGAAAAAAATATGGATACATTGTTCAGAACAGTTTCAAGTATGGATTGTATACAAGATCAGGAAATGGTTTAAATACTGTCAAGCGGCTGTTTGACAGCATGTACATGCAATGGATAAGTTGCAATGTATCTATGTGTATTATAAAAAAAATCTGAGAAAAAAATCTGAAAAACTGTTATAGAGGACAATCTTTATGGGCCCACCAGTGAAAATCATGTCACATGGAAGACTGAAACTTGGAATGTAAGAGAAATAAAAAAATGATAAAGAGCATGAATAATGAATAATGAAATGTGTTGTGCATTTGTGAAATTAAAAGGGGAATTAAATAACGGATTGAATGAAGACAGTATGAAATGGAGTAGAGTAGGTCATTTCATACAAAGCATTGTAGAGATTAATCTTCCAACAAAAAGGGATGGGAAATAGACATAAGGAGAGCAAAGTGAAAACTGCTTGAAATACAGTATCTGGCATTATACTAATAGAAAGAATTAAAAGAATATTCTAGGTGGAACAATGGAATAAGAACAATAATACATAGAAGAGATGGATTACTAAAAATGAGAATAAGAGAAAGTGACTGAATAATGTGTCCAGCAAAAAAACATGCAAAGAATGTCATCAAAAGATCAAGGAATGGTTATGATTAAAAGAGGCACAGAATATGCAAAACAATTTTGCCGAAAATAGAAACATTGTTTAAAAAAAGTAAAATTGAAACAAATGCTATGTTAGTGTCCAAGAAAAAAGTTATAAAAACAAGTCACAAATGCTGTGAAACTCCTTAAAAAAAGGTAACCCTGAAGCTATAGATGGTGTAATTAGAGGGATGTTAGTTGTTAAGTGTTAAAATACAGATGTGTCCTACTTATAGAGCAGCAGTATGATGTGTACATTGGTGTCTCAAGCCTGGAAGAATGCCATTATTCTTACCTAGTACAAAGGGAAAAGTAGCAAGATGAATGCAAAAACTACATGGAAATTAATTTAAGAATGCCTGGAAGGTCTTTTCTACCCTTTCAATTTTTACTGAAAGGGTAAAAAAGCTAATATGTAAAATTTGAAAACTGTCATGCAACTTTTCTGAATCTGAGAGCATCAGATTTTTGCTCTCTTCCAGCAGATCATTCAGAAATGTATGAATGTGATGAAAAAAATGCTTGCATATTGAGAAAGTCTATAGCAGGGGTCCCCAACCCCAGGTCTGTGGACCGGCACCAGTCCACAACATGCCAGAAATCAGTCCACGCAAATAAGGAAAGCCCCATTTGTGGGATGCAGACAGCAAGTGAAACCACGCCCCTCCAGTCCGTGGAAAAATCTCTCTCCACGGAACCGGTACCTGGTGCCCAAAAGGTTGAAGGTCACTGGTCCATAGTAAAGAAAAAGGACGCATATAAAAGAAATAAGGCTTGCATGAGAAATATGGAATGCTTAAAGAATTATTCAGCATTACCCTAGTAGTGCCTCTGGAGCAGAGACTTCCATTTTGATAGCCAGTTTGGTCTAGTAATTAAGGCACCAGGTTAGAGTTCTAGTCCCATTTTAGACATGAAAGGTAACTTTGGGCCAGTCACTTTCTCAGCCCATAATATCAGATTCAGACAACAACCCAGTCAGTCAATTCTTGTTGCAACTAATCACTACTTGGTTGATACCGACCCCCCCCCAAAAAGTGAACCTTGCACTTGTAGGGAAATGCTAGGAAGAAAAAAAAAAGAATGATTCAGAACTAAGAAGAAAATAAAAGATGGATATATTATGTCCCCTTGGTAATGTTGATTAAAAGATAGCAGAGCAACAATATGCAATATAGAACAAATGTTTCAGACTGTGTAGAAGAGCAGTCTGCTGATTGATCCACATATGAAAGATATGTAAAGATATGTAAAGAAAAGCAAAAGTATGTTTAAAATAAGTAAATACAGTGGGAATGGTATATTTAAGGACTATGTGTGGTAAACCAGGATGATCAAGAATAGATGGGTGCTGAACAAAACTGGACTGAAAACACGTGAATGATCGCTGTGCAAGAACTACATTCAGGTAATTTGATTAAATACAAAAAAAATGAATTAAACCTTCCATAGAAGCATAGGTTTATATACTAATTTATAATTATAATTCATATTAAATTTCAGAAAGTTATAGAATTCAAATTAACCTAGAAGTATTGCAATGTCAATGAATTAACAAAACACAATTTCAAAGATATAGTATTGTCTTACCAGATCTGCTACTCTACATAAAGCATCAGAGAGCTGATCAAAAACCAACACAATCTCTTTCCCAGGAGGTGTAATGCATGCTTTTTGGACCAATCGTTCTGCTTCTTGCAATGAGTTTTTTTGAGCTTCTTGAAATCCTTCTGGACAATTAAGTTCAGGTACACCAAACAGACCCTAAAACATAGAAAAGAACTTTACCAACATATATTTTTAATGTAATATTCTAATCTACAATAATTGAATATGGTGAACCAAAATGTAATTTTACCAGATAAATAAGCTTTACAGTAATATGAATCAAAATCATAATTACATTAAATGCAACTCCTTTGCACATTTTCCTGAGTTCTCAATCAATTTTGATTTGGAGCCTAAATTACTTTTTCAGCATCTAATTCTGAAAAATTAGAGTTTGTTAATTTGGAGAATTCCAGTAAACTTCACATAAATCTTCTCCAGGAAAACTAGTCCTCATAACCCCAATCCAAAGGTCAGAATGATAAAACTCTATCATGTCTGGAGTGTTCAAATACAAGCCAATACAGATTTATGCTCAAATGAATGTCAATATACCAAAAAAACCATTGCAAAAGACAAATTAGAACAAAAATTAAAATAAGCAAGAAAATGGTAAGAGAACACCTATCTGAGTATAAATCACCAGGACCTGATAGATTACATAGAGTTCTGAGGCAGCTGGCAGATGTTATTTCAGAACCACTGCACCACATCTTTTAAAAATCCTGGAGCACCGGGGAAATACCCAAGGATTAGAAAAGGGCTGATGTCCCATCTTCAAGAAAGGGGGAAAAAAACAGACCCAGGAAACTACAGACCGATCAGTCTAAAATCAATACCTGGGAAGATCCTGGAAAAGATAATCAAAAAATAGATTTGTGAACAACTAGAAGCAAATAAAGTTATAACTAGTAGCCAGCACGGGTTTGTTAAAAACAGATCATGCCAAACCAATCTTACTTCATTCTTCGATAAAGTCATACTCTCTCAGAACCCACCTCACAGTGTACGGATAATAATAACAGTTCAGAGTTATCAAAAATCAATACTAATTCAAAAGCACTAAAATAATAACAAACGTGCACATCTGCTTGTCTCAGGTCCCTGGAAAGGACTTCATAGGTAGACAAAAATGCCAAATCCAGCCTGAACCTCTGAGGAATTCCTCTGCGAGGAATCATAACAATAATTAAATGCCCCTTTCCAATGTTTTGAACACAATATTCCCAACTTTTATAATAGTAACCATTAAACAACATCTGCCTATCCTAAATGCTTAGGAATAGGTGGATACCAAGAAGAAGAAGAAGAAGAAGAAGAAGAAGAAGAAGAAGAAGAAGAAGAAGAAGAAGAAGAAGAAGAAGAGGAGTAGTAGTAGTAGTAGTAGTAGTAGTTGGAAGGGGCCTTGGAGGTCATCTAGTCCAACCAGTCAAATCCAGTCTAAATATCTGGCTGAAAAAAACAATAAATAATAACGTGCTCTTCCAGCTCACTAATACAGCAACAACAACAACGTCCCGTTCCGCCTCTCTGAACGCAGCATCCCCCACATACATAATCCCCTGCCATGGCAGGGATGTGGCAAAGGATTACGGAAGCTGTAATCCAGCTCATTTGGAAGAAAGCTGCTGAGTCTCTTCCAATATAAAAGCCAAGGATGGTCTGGCCGTTTCCGTCCCCATCTCACTCCAAGCTCGCCTCTCACCGTTTTCTGCCCCACCGCCAGCCGCTGCTGTTGGGCATTGAAGGCAGCGCCCACCGGGGACCAGCTGGTGCTGACCCATTTCTTCGTGCCGCCGCAGAGCCGGCCCAGCCTCGCTTGCTTCAGAGAGCCCGAAGCCCTGCGTGCCACTCGGTGCCATCCAGCCCACATGGTAGCCAGGGGACCGCTCGCCTCGGAGAGACGCACCGCCCCCAAAGCGGCCAAGCGGTTCCGGATCGCCGGGACGGCCTCTTCCGCGGCCCGGCCGTGAGAAAGAGCGTCGGTGCAACCCGCTTTTCCCCGCCCTCCAGCGGTTTTGCTCTGCCTCGCGTATTCGTTAAGGCACTTACAGTACGAATAGGACGGACTTCAACTCCCAGAATTCCCCAGCCAAGTAATAGCAAATGCAGAACGCTGCAGAGGAGTGCGCTATTTACAGCAAGGCCGGGTGATTATTATTTTTTAGAAGGTATAGGTAGTCCTCGACTTACAACAGTTTGTTTAGTGACCAAAGTTACAATGAAAAATATGACTTATGATGGCTATTCACAACCTTTGCAACCCGTGATCATGTGATCAAAATTCAGATGCTTGGCAACTGGTTCATATTTATGACGGTTGCTGTGTCTCAAGGTCATGTGATCCCTTTTTGTGACCTTCTGACAAGCAAAGTCAATGGAGCTTCCAGATTCACTTAACAACCAGGTTACAAACTTACCAACTGCAGTGTTTTACTTAACAACTGGCAAGAAAGGTTGTAAAATGGGGCAAAACTCAAACAAATGTCTCACTTAACAACAGAAATTTTGGGCTCAATTGTGGTTGTAAGTCAAGTACTACCTGTACTTGGTCTTCAACTACCTAACATCAGCAACAGCTATTGATAGTAGTTTGTTTTTTCCCCAGCAGATAAAATGTAGTTTTCCCAAGTCTCATGAGACTTTGGCTGCTACCTGGACACACCTATACTATTTTCTTTTACAACACAGATTTGGTTTTCCATCTTTTTGTTCTGGGGGAATTTTTTCTTCTTTTCCAGTCTATCAGGAATAATAATAACAAGAACAACAACTATAATAAAGCAGCTTGATCTTTTAATCTTAATCAGCAAAAGTCCAATAAAAAATTATTAACTTTAAACAAGTAAATCAATTTTAACGTTCTTTCTTTTCCTTTACACAGGATCTTGTGATTTTCTCTAAAAATACAAAAAAAGAGATTCCATGTCTTATATTTATAAACAAATCTTCAAAATCTTTGAAAGATGAATTTCAATTATATTCTATCTCTTTTTTTAAACTCATTTTTATACTGTCAGACATTCTAAAGAGAAAGTTCTGGATGCATTGTGCCAAATATCCTTAAATTATCTATTCTTTATTAGTAGGTCTTCTGCTTTAATTATAATCTTTAATTCTTTCTGGTTGCCTCTAGTAAATACAGTAGTGACTGTTTAAAATGGCATTGAAAAAAATGGTTTATGACCATTTTTCACACATACAACCATTGCAGCATCCTCATGGTCACGTGATCAAAATTCAGACTCATATTTATGATGGTTGCATGTCCTGGGGTCATGTGATCACCTTTTTGCAAATTTCTGACAAGCAAAGTCAATAGAAAAACCAGATTCACTTAGCAACTATTACTAACTTAACAACTGCAGTGATTCGCTTAACAACTGACGCAAGAAAGGTCATAAAATGGAGCAAAACTCAACAAATATTTTGCTTAACAACAGAAATTTTGGGCTCAGTTGAGGTAAGTTGAGGACTACCTGTAGCCTTCAAGGTCTCTTATTATATTCTTTTCTCACCAGAACATTTTCACAGGAAGAGATTTCTTACATTTAAACTCAAAATCTTTATATATTTTTAATAAAATGTTAAACTATAGGAAGTATTCTTACAATTTTTTCAAAGTCTCATTTCCAGTGAATCTGTCTCCTTACCTGTTTAAAAACTTTCCAGAATCAACATTCTAATCACCCTTTTGCTTTTTATTTCCTGATTTATTTCTGATTTTGTTTTTTGCCTTTCTCAGATCCCAAATAATCACAAAACTCCAGGGCAATAGTAAGTAAAAATTTAAATAATTCAGATTTTTTTTTCCAGGCAAGGCATAATTATTTCTCTTTTCTGCAAGACAGACCCTGGCTTTTTCTAATATACTCAGGAAAGCATGGTTAAAATAAATCATGATTTAATGCAATATGTGATCAAGGAATCACTTGTTTTAAAGGACTGAGGACAGTAGGAATGAAAAATAAAAGAAACCCAAGATTATTTGTTCAACAAAATTTGTTTATTTTATTTTGCTTTATTTAAACATATTTAGGCATAAATATATAGTAGTGGATTTTGTGATTTTATTAATTAGTCTAAAAATATTTTTGTACTAAGTTAAACAAGTTTACTTGATTAAAACAATAACAACAAGGGCAAAATAATTTTTCTATCGTGATTTAAAGAACTATGTAAGATATTAGAATTTAGGAACCATATAAACAAAGTAATGCACATAGTATTCAGCATCATTCTGCAAAAAAATGCCTGGGAGTTCTTGATTTGGTTTCATGAATTTTGATGGAAACTTCATGTGAAAACTAGGCTGTGTCATATAAGTGACATACATATTCAAAACCAAGCAATCAGCTGGAGGGCACAGATGCTGGTGCTTCTGAGGTACTGAATAGAAGAAAGCCACTGAAGACAGTGTCATCATCTGGATCTGCATACAATCCGTTATAAGTCTCTCCTCCATAACACTGCAGCCATATCCGATCCCCTTTCTGAAGTTCCAGGACGATTCCTCCAGAGGCCTGGTCTTCGACCCCTTGGTACATATCTGCAGTGTGGAGCATCCTGTGCTCATTTTTAACTAGAGCTACTCTCATATTCCTTGAAAAAACAGTGATGTGGTAGGTAAAATAATAGACCCCAGGGATTTGGCAGGTGAACACTCCAGTTTCTGTGCTATAATGGTCGAAGCTGTTGTATAAGACTTTATCAAATTTGATGGGAACATTGAGTGGAGGAAATTTAGCGGTGAGGCCTACACTGAAAGCACTTTTGCCAATAACTGGGGTACTGCCAAGATTTCCCTTTTCTCCCCGTTCTCCCTTCCAACCCCTTTCTCCCTGATTGCCTTTACTGCCTTTTGGTCCGGGGCCTCCTATCTCTCCTTTAGGACCCACGTAGCCTTTTGGACCTACAGGTCCCCTTAATCCTATTTCACCTTGAATTCCAATTTCACCTTTATTTCCTTTGGGGCCAATTGGCCCAAGGTCCCCTTTTATCCCTTTCCTTCCTTGTGGTCCTAGCTCCCCCTGGTGACCTTTGTCCCCTACCGGTCCAGGAATTCCTTTTGGCCCAAATTTCCCAGGCCAGCCGCGCTCTCCTTTATCACCTTTGTTCCCTTTTTCTTCAACTCTGCCGTCAGCCCCTAAATGAAAAGGAAAGACCTTGCAGTTAATCTTTTACAGAGTTGTGAAAGCATCTGTCATCTGAGGGATGAAAGTATAAATCCAAGATAACGGGAAGAGACATTTATTATTTCTGTATTATCTAACACAAAACCAAGAGCAGATGAGGTGAGACTACCTTTGATTTTTGAGGAGAAGGAAAAAGCAGAAGAGGATACTAGGTTCCCCCCCAGGCAAACATATGAAATGAGAGAGTCTCAGATTATATCAGAATGAACAAGTTTGGAGAATTGGGGTCTTTGGAGTCTTCCTCCAGAAAGTGTGGGGTTTTTTTTTCCTTCTAAAACTTCTTAACACCATTAGGCCTGTTGGAGCTGGCCAGAAACCATATCCAGGCTCTTGACCAAGTTAAATTTTGTACTCCAGCCTAAGGTCAAATGGCAAAAAATGATGTAATCTGTTTTCACAGTGGCTGTGCTTAATGTAATGTTATGGCTTAACAGAAAAATATATATATTGCTTTAAAGAGTTTGAGACAGGTGACAAGTTCCTGCTTCTGTAAGCATAAAAATGCTTTTCTAGAACTAAATCTAAAGCAATGAACAACTGTACCCTTAGTCCATGATATCCAAAATGAAATTATGTGCTGAAGACACTACCAGTAGAAGAGTACAGAATTAAGCAGAAACATCACAATGCTGTCAGGAGATCAAATATGCTCTCATGAAAGGTGCTATGTTAGAATGGCCAAACTAGAACAAAAAGTCTTGATCAACGCTGCATGCTAAGCCTTCCAACCTGCAGTGGTATTCCAGTAAGTGGCAAGACATCACATTGAAACTGATGCATTGCATTTTCTTCACACAGAGTGAGAAACTTATGGGCCTCATCAGCTTTCCTCAATCTGGTCCCTGCCTATATTGACCATTTCTGGAGGACATCAGACTAGGGACAGCTGATAGATCCCATTTTTCTGGCTTTTTACAAAATTTTGTAAACATACATGATGATTGTCAGTTGTTTTGGGAATATTGCTGCTCACCTGACAGGATTTTAAAATTGCATCTTATATAATTTGTCCATGAGGTTATAATAAATACTTTACATGAAAATGAATTATTATATGGCTATTTAATAAACAACTACCCTCTTTGTTTTCCTGAAACAAAGCACAGGTTATTGTATGTATTATGGTCAGCAGAAGATTACCGGTGGATAAGCATATCCTCATATTCTGGATGAGACCAGCTTTGGCTCCTACCTTGTTCCCCCTTATTTCCATTGATGCCATCTCGGCCTGACTTTCCTGGATTTCCTGGGTCACCTAATAGTAGCAAAAGATAATGTTTGTTCATATAAATGAAATAACATTCAGAATTTCAAACAGACACCTTCATAATTCACTGGAGTATAAAGAAAAGGAGGAGCTACAGCACAATCAGGTGTGTAAGATTTTGTTGTCATAGCTTATCTCTATAAAATATAGTCCTAGAATTCCTCTGGAATTGATTTCTTTCGTATTTGTAGCAGGGCAGACATCAATGATTAAGTGACAAAGAAAATGAATAAAAGAAACAGACAGTGCTTACTATCTTGTGTTTCAGTCTGGCTAAAGCCATAATGAGATGATTTGGTTTGGGTTTAATGTGTTGTGTTTTCTAAGATATTGTACTTTCTTCACGATATAATGAGTATCAGTATGATACAATGGATGAAATATTGGGCTAAGATTTGGGAGACCCATCAGTGGATATTTAATGGGTGACAACACAGCCTGTCTTAAAAGGGTATTGTATGGCATAATTAAGAACATTGTCCATGGGGTCGCGATGGGTTGGACACGACTTTGCAATTAACAACAACA